GATATATATATAGATATATATATATATATAGATATATATATAGATATATATATATAGATATTTAGTTGGCAAAATAAATGTCAATGTAATAACAAGAAACGCCAACTTGCCTGAATATATTAAGAAAATAACAAGTGCTTCTATAAAAAAATCCATGAGAAGAAATACTAGCACTTTTTTTTTGTTTATAAACCTAAACCTAACTATTCAATTAGCTTTTTAACTTTTTAACTTTTTTCCCCAACTTAATTTACAGTAGGTAATATATCATTCAAGGGCTCATCTAATTGGTCAAATGCCAAAATAAGTTATATACAGCCATGTAGCAGTGTCTTTGCTGAATGGCTGGATATAGATCTTGTGCTTCTAGACCTCACTGAGGGATGGGGGATGTGAGGGGGGTGCAAGTGATCAAAAATGGTAACTTGCCCTATAAGGGTTTATGGTTCAGCCTGCTGGTTTTCATGCTGCCAACCTGTCCTGGATGATAACTTCCACTCATGATAGGAAATGGGGCACATTCCCATGGTCACCCATTTTCAATTCTAAGGATCTGGAAGGGGTTTCTTTTAATACCATGTACAAACAGTAATAGTGATGTTTAGAGGGATGTGTACTCAGTAGCAGATTTTTTTTAACAACCAACTAAATACTTTTATTTCCAATTTGAAACAAATGAAGATATAAGGACACAAAATATGGAGAGCAGTTTCTTTCTAAAATCCATTAATGCTATTACAGATAGATTGTTAAGAAATGATCCATCTAATAAATACATTACCCCATGATATAAAACCTACTTTATATAAAAAAAAAATCTATATTTTTAGCTTATTTTAATTCAACCAGTTTCCAGTTGGTATATTTCTAATACCAGCTAAGGTGGAATCGCTCACTTCATTGTGAAAAAGGGAAGTCCAGATTTCTGTAATAGATGCTGTGGCACATTATTATTAAAGGAAGTAATGTAGCTTCTGTCTGTGGTTTATTTCTCCAGTACACCGTTTTTATTGAGATGTAATTATTTTTATTGTCTTATTTGTTTCAACTTAGAAATCGAAGCCAAACTCTGGGGTCGGAGAGCAGCCTGGATGACGGAGGCGTGTTTGACTGCCTGAAGCCTGAGTCGTCTGCTTCACCCCAGCAGATGTTCTCAGGCCTGGTGGGCGTCCCGTCCAGCTCTGCTCATCTGCAAGCAGCTGGTTTATTTCTAGGCTCCCCACCTGAAGTTTTTATCCAGATGACTGCATCTTCCAGGGAAGAAGCAGGCAGCCATAGAACAGAGGGCGGACCGTTCCTCACCCGGCCGCCCCAGCACCACCACCACCACTTCCACCACCAGCCCCTGCAGCACAGAACATCATCTCTGCTTCAGCAGGCCACCACGGCAGCTAGCTCCGAGAGGCACGGCTCCAGGGAAGACGCCCAGGATGAGCAGTCTACCCCGGCTCCAGCTCTGTCAGAGCTGAAGTCTGTGGTTACGTGGCTGCAGAGGGGCTTTCCCTTTATCCTCATCCTTCTGGCTAAAGTCTGCTTTCAACATAAACTAGGTATCACATAATAGGAAGGTATTTTAAGCACAGCATTTTTATAAAACAGACGGTCCTGTGTGTGTTTACCAGGTTTCTTTCTGTTTTCTTACAGGTATCGCTGTGTGTGTGGGAATGATCAGCACATTTGCTTATGCCAATTCTACATTTAAGCATCAAGTTTCACTGAGGGTAAGAAAATATAGAAACTCGTACACCTTTTAGTGACTTAAACAAGTTAGATGTGGATTTGTTTTTGCTGCTATTACATCTCATGAAATGGACCAAAGCCCTGTGACCTGCTAAACCTTCTTATTTTACAGATTGCTTGTTGATACCTTCAAATTCTTCAAGCTTTCTATTTTCTAACAGTCCAACTTATTATTTCTTATTGAAATGGAACAAACTGCTGGTTGCTGTTGTCAGTCTGCATGGAACAGAGTGAATTATTATGAGAACAGCTCGATTATCTGTGAATCTCTGGACATTTATCGTTGCATTTGTAAAGCTTACTGCACTTTTCTCTGTTTTTTGCCACTACCTGTTGAAGGAGGAGCGATCCATGTTTGTGGCTCTTTGGATCATCTTGTTTCTCGGGGGGAACATCGTATATATCTACTACTCCTTCAGCCAGGAGGAGCTGCACTATAGGTTAGTGTAAGCTAAGGGGCTCTTATATAGGAGGTCTTTTTTTTTTTTTTTTTTTATCCATCAAGCTGTTTTTGATTTGCTTTATGTTGAAGTTATCCCATCATATTATTTTTTCACTTTCATTTCCTTTAGGAAGAGTTTCAGTTCATGTCAGTCATGTCCTGTGAGTATTTTATTGTTTTGAGGTCTTTCTTTAAGTTTTAATGTTCCATTTTTCATTTCTCTTGCTTCTCTAAGTGCCATCATGAGTAAAATAAGGCCTTTTCATGAATAGTTTAAATTATTCTGGACCTTTTATCTCTAGCCTCATATTTGCGAAGCCCAACCTCAACAGCTTTGACTTCTTTGATCTGATCTGGGCGGTTGGAATCACCGACTTCGTCCTTAAATACGTCACCATCGGCCTGAAGTGCTCTGTCCTCTTTCTGCCCAAGATGATTATGGCCTTCAAGTTAAGGGTAAGAATTCGATGATATTAGGTTTGTTACATGAGATAACCCTGACCTAATGATTTATTATGGCTTGAAAAAGCTGAAATTATTAAGGAAAGGGTGGAAGATAAAAAGGTTCTTATTCTTTTGTTTTCCATTTTTCTACCAAAACAATTATTTGTATTCATTCTTTCTTAATTCGTTTCCTTTCTCTGCCTAATGAGAAATAAATGTTACTCAGTTATCTGATTGTCATTTTCTGTGTATTTGTTTATCTCTCCACAACTTCTTAGAAACTTTATCAGCCTGATCTTTTGCAGTTATATCATTTTTCTCTTTTTTTCTTGTTTATTTTATAGAGATGCAGGCTATAAATTCTACCTAATTCACTAAAGGTCTACGTAAGGGGTGTCTAAAGTCTGGCATTGGGGACCATTTGGACCAATTGCCTATGGTCTCATTTTTGTGCAAGTGTTGAAGCAACTGGGGATATTTTAGTTTGAAATCAGGAAAAAAATATAACCAGCTAACTAAAATCTAATAATATCATTGAAGTACTCTTTAATTTCACTTTAAACGTAATATTTATTTAATGACTTCAATGGAAAAGCAGACTTTGGTGCTTCTAAATTTATTAAAAACGAGCTAAATATGCATTTTATTTTAATAAGACAACTATACAAAACCCCAAACTGGTCTAACATTAACAGTTAAAAAAACATTAATGAAGGAGAGGAAACTACAACCTTTGATTGGAAGCTTCAAAATATGAAGTGTTACTAAACTGCTTTTAATTAAGATTTTCAAAAGTTTCATTAAAGTTCACTCATTTCTGCACATTGAAAAGCCAGAATTCTAAATAGTGGAAAGTTCGTGGTTCAGAAAAAAGAAAAAAAACTTTCAAAACTATGACGAGAAACTCTCTTGAGTAAAGAAAGTGCTAAAGGGTCACAGTGTGAAACTGTTTTTTATTCATGAGCTTTTTAAATGCTACTCCTTAGGTGTGCGGTTTTCATGTAGGTGTCTGCTTGAGTTTTTTTTTTTTTTTTTCTGGCCTGAGGCAGAAGAATATTGTCTGCAAGCGCACACACACAGACACACACACACAGATTGATTTCCATATAGGTGCATGTCCGTGTGTGTTTGTGTGCTCGATAGAAGGTGGTGGCAGCGAGGAGATGAGTGATATAAAAGTATTAGGATTAAATTTTCCACTGACAAACAAACCTGTAGGCATATCAGGATCACTTCAGCAAGCAACTGAGCTCATTTACCCTCAGGGAGGGGGGGTTACTGGGGTGAGGTCATCCCTCCCTGGAGCTGGACCATTACCTGTTTCCTCCACTCATACACAAACACGTGCGCTTTGTCATTTACAGGCATTACAAGCTTATAAAAGAATGTTACATTTTAGGTTTTGGGAAATCCCGAATTATCTAAGCAATTCTAATTTAGTCAAATATGTATTTTTATATGCATGCAGCATAGAAGTAAATAAAGATTGATGCAGTTAGCAGCTTCTGCTGCTTTAAGTAGATCAATGCGATGCATCAATTTTATTACTTGTTGCATAAAGACAAAGTTGTTTTTACTACTCAAATGGCTCCATATGTTCCCTTAGTGCTATTTGCCCAAAGTGCAGGATGGATTAGCTGACAGCTAAACCCATAATTTAAGAAATTATTCAAGTCGTCTTTTCGATTGTTTCAGGTCAAATTAATTGGAAGGTATTTTAATTTTTTTTTAGAAAATATTGAAACATTCAATGTTTCATTTATTTTAAGGGTTATGTAAAACAAAACTACAAAGAAAATCACTATAAAGTATTTTTTGCCTTGCTTTAAAAACTTTTTTTTTATGTTCTGTCAGTACTTTTAATTTTGCAGATACATCTTGAACTCCACTGCCTTAGTATGTATATTCAGCCTCATGCATCAACATTTTCGTATTCTTGTCTTAAATTTCTGACTTTTTCTCCTAACACGATGCTCCTGCAAACGCGCCACAGGAGATTCTGAGTCAGTGCATAAGTGAGCAGGGGTTTTTGGAAATGCAAATCTGCATATTACCGCCCCAATAATGTCATATAAGTTTTCGACTTCCTACGCTTTCAGAAGGTGTTCATTAACCAACAAGGCATTGAAAACTTAAAATGAAAACTTGACCGGTTTGGAGATCGAGGTTCTTCTGACTGAGAGCTGAGTGACAGAATTAAAGGACCAGTAAAAAGCCAAGCAGTGGGAAATGAATTACTTGTGCTGTAAATAACCTGGCTGCACTGATACTGAAGTAAAAAATAAAATAAGAAAAAAAATAATCTAAAAAAAGAAAATTAATTAAATTCAAAAATAGTCAATGAAAATTACTGATGAAGGCAAGAGTTGCAACATATAAATGCTAAATGAGTTTATCAACCAACACAACAATATTGTGTTAATTCTCCTTTTAATCCACACACACACCTGTACTGTACATCTCCAGATGATGTCTGCCATCCCTTCATCACACTCTCCATCTCTCTTATAGAAAGTATAGTAAAACTATCATTTAAAATTGCAGGGTTGCATACAATATAATGATGTAGTGCAATAAAATTGACAGTTACTTCTATTTAACAACAAATGTAGTCATTTAGTTAAAAACTAGCTGACTGGTTGGGCAAGAGTCCTACCTCAAGTCTGGATGGCAAATGGGGAATTTTCCCCAAATCACTCACTTCAAATGTTTAAGAACAAATTTGTTCTAATGGGCGGTTCTTCCATGAAGTCCATTGATTAATGGCTAAGCTAGAAAACATCAAAAAGGAAGGCCATTAGCACAGAATGCATTATATTCACATCCATGTAATTAAATTATGGAAAACGGATGGAGTTCTACATGAGAGAGAAAAGGTAAAACATTTTGGTTTTGAATAATTCTGGGATTTAAAAGGCTCTCTGAGGTTAGTATCCTAGAGACCTAGCCAACCCACACCCTGCAGAGGGATTTTAAAAGTGCTAAAAAAAAAAAAAACTCTGGCAACATTTGGTACAATTTCATTTTTCTTCTGTTGATGTGTGGTCTGTTCCCTGTATGCTATTTTCTTTTGCTTACATTTAAGAATCTTTCTAATAAAGAAACTCTCCTCTTTTGTTACCTTCCACAGAGCTCAAACAAATGTCCTTCATTAATGATTAATAGTACTCCATCATTTTTATCTCCAGGGTAGTGTTTTCTTTGTTTGGTTTTAGTCCAAATTCTATACACCCCTATAGCTGAACTACTGGTGATCCCATTTATACATCACCCAGCAGAGCTATTCAGTGTCTGTTTTATTGGATTTGTCCCTATGACTTTATTTTTCAAAAAATACTTTGGAAATGGCATCTGTTCTTTAAATACCGATGGAAAGACCATCTGTGACTTATTTATATTCCATACACTCAATAGTTATGTATTGTATGGCTCTAAAACATGTTTTCACTTTAATTACTTGTCACTATGTTTTTTTTGTTGCTGGTTGGGTCTTGGAAGGTAAATACTATATGAACTACATTCATATTTGCTTTCACATAAAAAATGTTATGTTTGAAATAATTAGGGGATGAACATTTCCACATGGAAGTATATAAATGCGTTGCTATTTTTGTACTTTAATCACATCCACCATTAAATAAATTTTCTCACAAGAAAACAATTGGAAAATGTCTTTTAAAGTAAATAAAGGTATTGATAGTTTTGGCATAAATATTTTCTATATTAAAAGCTGTTTTAGAAGTAAGATGGAGATAAACACATTGATGAATTTATTTAAAAGGCAGAAAACTTAAACAGAGCCTGAAGTGCTGCCTTCTCAAAGCGACTGGCTTGTGTCCAAACTTTAAATTTGACAGTTTTTGCGTGGGCGTGATTGGCACCATGGGACGTGAGGCGAAGCTGAACAATAAGGAAGATGAATTAGCAGTTAGCAGAGGTCTTCCTCCCCTACCGACCTGGCTGCTTGTGCCTCTTTACACACAGTCATCAATCTTTGTCTTCTGCCGTGCACGAAGTCATTATGCAAGCTGAGATGCCATAGGGGCCAGTGGGGAATCAAGTTTTCCTCCATTTACCAACCTCTGTCTTTTTTTTTTTTTTCCACCAGTCACTTAATGCACTTTCTAGCTGTAGGGACAGAAGACTGTTTCTTCTTTGTGATTATTAGGGGGGAGGCCCTTCAAAGACAGTTACTGAGCCCCCACAGGGTTGGGTTTAAAGTGGGCACAGGGGTAGCAGGTGGAAAGAAGTGCTGCCAGTTTCCCTTGCAGTGCAGGAAAATTGCCTGTACTGCTGTGAAGCTGCTGAGATCTGGACAGCGGCCATGTTTGGGCCGGAGGCGTGCTGTTTTAAGCTTTTAATACCACACTGCTCTTGACTAGATAGAAAAACGCCCTGAAGCTGCTAAGCTCTTTCTGGATTTTGACAGCTTCAACAAAGGAAACCTATTGTCATCAATTTGAATTGTTTTCAAAAAGTTTAGGAAAAGCTGGCATTCACACATTTGATGTCTCGTTAAAATATTAGCCTTCAGATTTATAACTAACTTAGTGCTCGATAACTGGGTCCCTTTTCTACCATTTAAGGTGCTACTTTTCTGTTGTTTTCTAGGGTAAGTTCTATCTTCTGATCGAGGAGCTGAGCCAGCTGTTTCGGGCTCTGGTGCCAGTGCAGCTGTGGTATAAGTACATCATGGGCGAGGACCCGTCAAACAGTTACTTCCTGGGAGCAGCACTCATCATCATCTACAGCCTCTGCAAGGTAAGCAAGACCTGGGAGTAGGGATATTCATTTGGTACTTGACAAAGATTTTGTAACTGATGCTTTTGGGACTTGAGTTTACAGTCTTTAGGGGGCTGGGCAAATAACTGCATTTGCAGTACAATCGCAATTGAATAAAACGCAATTTTCGAATCGCAGAGACAATCCTTTTTTTGTAGTGGTAAGTCGCTTAACGTGGTTAAGCGTAACATTTGTGTGAAGCGCTTGACAGAAACATTACGGTAAAGTCCTGTGACGAACTCAAGATGGACAAGAAAGCTTTCAAGGTCATGAAAAAAACTGAAACCTTGAAATAAAATATCTACAAGATTAAGAAAAAAAAGGCTAAATAAATCACCGTAATGGTTACAAAATAAAAAATATAGATTTTTGGCAGTCGTTCAGCCCTAATTAGGCCTTATTTAGACTCCTCCTCAGCTAGAACTGCATAATATATTAAATTATGTTGTGATGTTACCCACAATTCAAATAATCAGAATTGGAATTAATAAATCAAATGTTACAGTCTTTGCAAATATTGGGACTTGATAATTGCCAAACAGACACCCCCCCCCCCCCATCACAAAAGGAGGCTTCATAAGCAATGGGATATATCGCTCATTACGGTGACGTATACTAACATATTGATGGAAAGGTGAATGGAAGGAAAAGGTGCAGAAGAAATGGTTCCACAAGCAATAATCAGCCACCCCACAGATTTATCCGTCTCTCCAAAGTTCACTTTTCAGCCAAACGTAAATTCTGTGTTTCCTTTTTAAGGTCCAGAGTAAACTTTCCACAGTCAGTGGAGATCTACCTGGATATGTTGCATGCATGCCTGCAAACACACTGAAAATCATCCATACGAGATTAAGGGTCAGGTTATTGACCAACAAACTCTTCTGACTGACATCAAAAAACCCCTTTGCAATGGGCTGCCTGGAACAGACTGACAGATGTAAAACAAGCGGTAAAAGTAAACAGCCGGTTTTGTTCAAATAATGAAACTAAAAAGTATTTCTAGAACAATGAGTCAAATTGAAGTTGTTTTTAAACTCTTGAGTCCATGGAACTGAAATGTGACTCCCTGGATGATGCAAGGCTTATTGTCACAGTGGGGGATGTGTCTTTTTTACATCAGGAGTCGATCCTTTTTAGACTGCAGTGATTCAGCACCTGTTGCTTTTGATGACTGGCCTCATGCCTGAATCAGATGGCCGGTTTCCTGTGAGCACTGAGGTGTTTTCCAACATCAGCCCATTATAGCGCTTTGTTGTCAGAGCGTGCTAATCTGCATCTGTCGTTTAGTCAGCATTGTTACTAAGTGAGATTGCTGGGTCACGGTAAAGTTTGAATAACAGCATCAGATCAGGGAGCGTTAGAATTAGGTTGGTGGAAAGCAATTTAAAGTAAACTGGAACAACTTCCCCAAAAACATACACTGAAACTGAGTTTTATTAATTTAAAGCTCTAACAAACCAATTTACTCATGTTTTGTGGTGCTACAGCCAGAATAGTTGTATTTTATTTGGATGTCATGCTAAACACAGAGCTAGGGCTCCAACTAAGAATTATTTTGCTCATCTGTTAATCCTTTGATTATTCTTTCCATTAATAATCAAATAGCAAAAATGTTCCTCAAAGAATTCTTTTTGCAAATTAAACCAGGTGAAACTATAATTTACCACTTGAGGATTTCTGGGTAGAACATATTGACACTTTTTTTTTTTTTTTATGTTAAAGGCAATGTTTTAAAAATGTTGGTATAATTACACCTCTAAGTGTGTTTCTTTATCAACTAAAGGCCTGTTTTAGAGTCTCTATACTCCAGTTAATAATTAAGCGATTGCTAAAATTTTTCAATAATCAATTAATCATGATCAATCCGATTAATTGATTCAGCCCAACACAGAACATAAAACCATTATTTAATGATCGGTTTGTAAGACTTTGATTTTTAAATCAAACTAGTTGTTTATTCTCCACGTATTCTCCTTTAAAATATTCTGTAATATGCTATGCTTATTTACAAAGTGCTTCTGAAATCTAAACGGACATGAAAGCACATCCGTAAGCAGACCTGATCTTTTTATCAGATCAGAAGAAAAGTAAGCTTTCTTGGAAAAGGTTGCTTAATGAATAGTATTAGTTTTTACTACATGATAGGACCATGTTGATGAACACATGCTGCTGTTAACTATTTCAACATAGCACAAAGAAGTCGGAACGTCCTCAGTTGTTTGAATTCCCGCATGTAGCTTGCAAGCATCTTTAATTATCGATGAATTTTACCAAGTGATCGCACTTTGTTTTTTTGATTGCAGTCCTTTGATCTTTGTGGACGAGTATCTGCGATACGGAAGGCGTTGGTGATGCTCTGCAGCTCCCAGGTCAGCTTCCGTTCACATGCATTTCATACATGAAGGAATATGATTGTGTTATCTTGTATTCAAAGTTGAGCTGATTGTTACTTTGATTCTCTGTTTTGGTCCCATTTAGAGTTACGGAGTGAGGGCCAGCAATCAGCTCTGCAGCGAGGCTGGTGATGTCTGCGCTATCTGCCAGGGGGATTTCAAAGATCCTATTGCTCTCATCTGTCAGGTAGGGAGGTACAGCTCTCTAATGAGTTATAGATGATGTATGAACACTTTGGGAACTAGCATGAGTTAAAAGTTAGAGGTTTATCGCCCCCTATTGATTCAACCTCTCCACCTAGACTTAAAGTAAATCTAAAAACATTCACAAAGCTTCATTTTTTTCTGCATTTTATGCAGACTCTTAGTTTTAAACAATGTTTAGCTATTTTTTTTTTTAAATCTCAGAATTGAAGATGAGGTGTTGGTAGACGGACCTGTAAAGGTCTTCCTCAGGCTCGTCTGGATTTTATTCGGGACATTCATTTTTCTTCTCAGACTACTCCTAAATGATCCTTTATCCTAGCAGTGAAACGTATGTCAGTATTATTTTTAAAGATATATTGTCTTAGTCACAGTTCCAAAGGCTTTTTACATCCTGCTGCTGTCTGGCAGACAGGTTCCCCGGTTTCTGATGCAGAAATATATCCCTACCACCACTACTGTATACAGCTAACATCCCCCTTAATATAATAAATGCTCAGATGCAGTAAGCATGAAAAAAAAAAATCTTGTGATTTTATTTTTTTTTTGTCTTTTAATGATAGTCTCTGTCTTAAAAATTTTATTTTTCCTTTACTTGTTTGTTGCTTCTATTGCATCAACTGTGCAACTTGGCTAAGGTCTTCGTTATCACCCTTACCCTGAAATCCCACATACTCCGTCAGCGCTGCGCTCCGCTCCGCTACAGACCGCCTGCTCAAAGCAAAGCCTACAGCCGCCACTGTGGCTCCCGTCCGCTCCGCTCTGAGTCCCTTGGAGATCGTAGAGGACATGTGCGAGATGAACCAGGGTTTCCACGGATCATTAAAAATAATTACAATTAATTTTTTTTAAATCAAGGCCTTAATTGGCACTAAAATTATGTAAATATGTTTATCGAAGTATTTATAATTCTTTAATAAAAATGCTTATAAAATCAATTTTGTCAGATATATTATATCGCTATTAATTTGCATGGAACTGATCATAAAGCCGTATGTTCGGAAAGGAAGCTCGAGGCGGAGAAAAAGCTAGAGAATATATATATACGTGTGTGTGTTTACATACATACAGGAGTCATGGAACTGTGCTTACAGCTCCTTCATATTTCATGTACACTGATAACTTGTGTAAATGGTTCTTGTTGATGGCATTAAAAT